TAAGTATTTACTTGAAATCTTTTTATTTTTATATGTTTATCTAAATCCCTCTTAGTCACCAAATCAATGCTTAACAGCTGTGCAAGCCAGTTGGCTTTAGACAGCTCCTGGAGTTTTTAAGGATTATTTCTTGGCAGCTTTTGAAAAAAAAGCACTAATTGAAAGGTTAATCAAATCAGTCATATTTGTATGTTGGTTATATAAACACCCTGTCTCCACCAAAGATTAACAGACGCATTATACTCTACCCAGAAGGCCCATTTATTCTGTAATGATTGTCACTTGCCTTCAAGCTTCTAGGTAGTAGGGAAGTACTTTGAATACTTGCAAATGAAAATTCTGATTTATGAAACGCTTCTGCACTTCCAGGATTCTACAGAATCTAAAATATTTTACAGCAACACCAATTCTACCTGTGGTACATGAGGGTAAAAGGTCAGTTCCACATCTACTCAGAGAGAAGTCAGTATCTCTAAGTTTATTTAGGCACAAAAATACAAGCTTAAAAGTAGACATATTTTGAGGCACAATGTTTGTTAAAAAACAGCTCTGAATGTCTGTGACAGCACTGGTCAGCACGATCTAAAGATATTAGCAGTTACTGCCCTGCTCATCTTTAATAAACCGACGGTCTCCTACCATTTTATTACACCTATGATCCAACAAGACGTGTACTGCAACAGGGTCTGGAAAGAAGCGGGATAGATGGAAGTTCCGTAGCGTCACTGGCTGTCACTGGTTGCGCCTGTGTTTAGTGATTGCAAAATAATCTGAATCCGCCCCTGCCTGGGATGGAGTTTATTACGGTGACAAAAAAGGGGCTGGCTTCTAGAAATTATTTCTTGAGGTAAAAATTTACTGGAAAATATTTTGTCTTGAAATTACTTAAAATGTGATCCAGTTTGATGTAAATTATAAAAGTTATGCAAAAAATGTGGAATAATAAAGGATTACTCAATTCTAAGTTCAAAAGTACATTTATTTAAAATGTGGGCAAGATATCAATATAAAAGAAAACAGAGTATAAGAAATAAAAATAATCAAAGTACAAAACATTTCAAATCTGTAACATCCATAATTTAGAGATAGCAAGGTCTTTATTTACACCGTTTTATTTCTAGTTGAAGTCCCATAACAGTTTTGTGAAAACATTTAAAAACCTGGCAAATGAATCATAAAACCTACTGTGGGCTCTTAAAGTCATATAATACAAAACATAATTTATGTTTCCTCAGAATAAAATTGCACATCTTAAAAAGATGCAGTGTATTTATTATATCTGTCTTCCTGCTTTACAGTCTGATCCCCCAAGAAAGCAGCTGGAAAACAGGAGCGCGTGGAGGAAGCGCGGCAGCTCCTTGCCAGCCAGACAGCTGGCCCCGTACCGCAGGAGTGCACACGCACTGCAGCCTAGACGCCATCAGTTGAACTTATATGTAGGCTTGTTGAGGAAAACGACTTTCAAACACAAGGCAAAAGAAAAACATGAAACCAAGGGTTCCAACATTCATCACCCAGTTTCAGGGACACCCTTGTAGGAATGCTACAGCCTCTTTCTCACCCATTCAAACCAATCGCTCTGCTGCACACCCACATCACAGGAGGGCCTCAGCCCTGACACACAGGCTCGCTCAGCCCAGGGACATCGGCACCTGTGCCAGCTCCCCAGGGGATCCATCATGCGGCCAGAGCTGAGGCCTAGCAATAGCTGAAGTGTCCTTTAATTAACATGTACACCATACAACCCCCAAGAGCTGACATCCCCAAAGCCCCAACACAAACAGCTGATTCCTACCTATACCTTCAGGTGCAGGTGCCGACCTCTGCAATTCTAAACCGTCCGCTTTGGGCAAAATTAATCAAGTTACGGATATGAAAAAAGGCCCCCAAGGTAATACTTACAAGTCACCCATATAACTTTTAAAGCAATTTCTTCTGAAAGTAAATGTAGTATAGAACAGGCTTTCACAAATACAAATATGAATGCCAGAAAAAAGTCTGGAAAACATGCAAGAGTACATATTGTATAAAAACCAAATGCTTATAGCATATCTGTAAAAATTTAACAGGCCTCTTATCATTCCTATCAGTAGCTCCTGCAATAATTTTCTAATAGATGGCGGTATGGAATACACCAAGCGCTGATATGAATGATAAGAGCACTTCTGCACCAAGCCTCATTCCAACTAGACAGGCTATTTATGGCTAAACATGACATTGGCTTCTGGGACTGAGGCAAATTTTACTTCTTTTTTTTTTTTAAAGACAGAGTTTCACTCGTTGCCCAGGCTATAGCGCAATGGCGTGATACTGGCTCACTGCAACCCCTGCCTCCCGGGTTCAAGTGATTCTCCTGCCTCACCAAGTAGCTGTGATTACAGGTGCCCGCCACCATGCCCAAGTAATTTTTTTCTATTTTTAGTAGAGACAGGGTTTCACCATGTTGGCCAGGTTGGTCTCGAACTCCTGATCTCAGGTGATCCGCCTGCCTTGGCCTCCCATCCTGGGATTATAGGCATGAGCCACCGCGTCCAGCCAAATTTTACTTCTTAAAAGTGCTTTTCTCTCAGTGATATCAAGGCCTTCTGTCTACTATTATAACCATAAGCTCTTTAGGGTTAAGAGGAAAATGTTTGATAAATGTAATTAACTGGATGAATGTCAGTGTATTTAAATGTAAATATACTTAAATGTAATTACCTGGATGAAACAGGCACACACAAAGAGAAAAAAACTCGGCAAGGATGGTATCATTCTGACCTCTGTGCCTTACTGAAGCAGTCCTATCCCAAACACAAAATTCCCCTGCGTAAGGAATGGTCCACTGAGGCTGACACTGGTCAGAGGTGGCAGAGGCTCCCACCCTCACAGGGAGGAGGAGCTCGGCCCTCCAGCCTCATTGCAGGAGCCACAGGGAGAAGTCCTGAGAAAACCCTGGCAGAAGGCCCTCTGCAATGGGAAGCGGCAGTTGAAACAGAATTTTCCCATAATGACCTGTAAGGCATGTTTTGCTTCACTGATGGGCTGTTCATACATTAAAATAATAATTCAGAGATTTTTAATAGGAATTCAAATAACAGATGATGAGCTTTATTTTTTTCTGAATGTCTGAAATAGAAAAAAGTCTAAGCGTGTCATTATTCTAAAGACTGACTTTGCATTTTCCTGACATGTTGATAAAGTATTCACTCTGCCACTTCTATTTAGTAGAATTTATTTCCCATCCCAAAGTTCCTGAGTACAAAGGCTATATACGAACTAAATTTCATTTTGAAAACTACAAACTCAAAAATGAGCTGATAAAAAGAAACATGTATTTATTTTTGCAATTATTTTCTATTTTATCTAATTGTCAAATACTTTGATACCTCCATAAACTAGACAGCACAGATCCTTTCTAATTAACATCACCTATTAAAACTGAACTCTCAGCAAGTTAAGAGAATGTTTTCACTAGCAACTCAAATGAATATTCTGAAGAGAAAAGAATTGTTCACTGCATAAATCACGACAGCAAAGAAAGGAAAAATGGCTTGCAAAACAGGAAAGGTACTGCCTTATTAATCTGGGAAATCCATTTCATATCCAACCCATCTACTTTTTATTCTCTTTTGAAAAGGATATGATTCATAGTCCAGCGTTTGTGTGAGTACTCCGGTCAGAACGAACTCTGCATTGTGAACATCTGAACAGGGTGGAAACAGACTGTTAGAGAGATCCACTGCTGTGTGCACACACACTCACATATGTAAGCAGGGAAACGTACCTATGCCTCTGGCAAAATATTCTCGGCATAAATGAAGGTCATTTTCACAGGATATTAAAATTATTTCCGACAAACTCTAAGGAAAAGAAAATGAGTGTCTCAGTGACCGAACACGGATTCTGATACAGGGCGATGACGGACTCGCTGGTGGACTCCGCTCTACCCACCGAGTTCTGCTTGTGCTCCATGAGTTTCCGGAAAGATGGCTGCTTGGATAGCACCTTTCCTCCTGCACACTCTACGATTGCCTTCATAGTGGAGAGACTTGGGCAGATTCCAGGTGTGATGTAAAAATATTTTGCCTAAAATTAAATGAAAATATATGTATTGTGTTCTTAAAATGCTTTAATTTTTAGAGTACATAATTTTCATAGATTCTGCCCTGAGATTTTTGACAAAATTTCTAATTTGATGACATTATGAAGCTACTATTCTCCTACTAGCACTCAGTCTGAAGTGGAAGAGGAATCCAGCGATGTAAATTTGGAATTTAAGCATTTTCACATGTTAAGTATGCCTGAAGATGATTTAAAGTAACCAGAACTTAAGTTCCTAAAACAAATCGTTTTGTGAATAAGCAATAATATTGCAAATATTTTTCACAATTTCTATACAATTTTAAATCAGCATTATATTTCACCACACTTATCTGCCCAGCAACAGCCTCTGGCGTAGCATGCTGCCTGGCTTGTATCCCTTTTCTTTATTTTCTCCATATTATTTGAACTCAGAGCAGGAAATGATATTGATACTTAAGATTTAATTATCTAAAAAGCTTGCTCCTGAGGATACCACAAAATACTATTCTGTCTTAAACTGCAAATCATTTCTAATTCCTGTTGACTCCTTAAGAAGGTTAAAGAACAGATTATCTTTATTGATTTACTTAGTTCTTCGATACAAAAAAAAATTCCTAACTGTTCTAACACTTATCTAACATTTAAAAATCTTTAGTTCTAAATTATATCTATGCACACTGAATATTTTCCCAAGTATCTTCTCCAGCTGAATATACATTTATTGACAATAGTATGAAGTAAGCAATGTCCTCTAAAGATTTATTAAAAGCAGAAAAATGAACATGCCTCTTAACAATTATTCAAAAACCTACTCCTTGAACAACTTATTTCTCACAGATGTATTTATTAAATTTGTGTACTTATTTTTAAACGTTATAGTAAAGTTCTCTAGAGATGTGCTGTGGTTCACAGGAGGAAGACCTCCAGTGGCAATGTCCAAGAAGGAAGCCAAGTGGTAAACGGGATGCAGGGTGAGCCCAGCTCCCCTGGAAGTGCACTTCCCATCAAATCACCTGGTAGTTCCCTTCAGCAGGTCCATGTGTTATGCTTACTTGGACTGATTTACTTTTCCCTTAAAGTGTACCTTAAAGAGTGGAGAAACATGTGCCCGTTTTAAGGATTCTTCCAAGCTGAAAGAGAAAAGTACTTCTGCCTCAGCATCTCGGAGAATGTAGTTCTGCTCATCTGGAAAACAGAACAGCACATACTCTAAAAAATGTGGACACGTGAAGTGTGGCAGGTGTGACCCACAAAATTCTCACCCATATTCAGGTATGTAATATTACAGCTACATTTACCTGCACAACCTTCGGATATTTAAATCTCACCATTATATTTCATTTACTTCCCTCTAAAAACAGCCAGACCAAAAAAAGACAGGCAGGTATTTTTTCTCCTAGATCAGTGGTAATTAACCATTTGGGGTCCTAAACTCTTGAAAAAAATAGGGCTGGGTGTGGTGGCTCATGCCTGTAATTCCAGCACTTTGGGAAGCCGAGGAAGGAAAGCTGCTTGTTGCCAGGAGTTTGAGAACAGCCTGGGCAACATAGTGAGACTTCATCTCTACAGAAAAATTTTAAAATCAGCTTGGCATGGTAGCATGTGCCCATAGTCCCAGCTACTCAGGGGGCTGAAGTGGGAGGATTGCTTGAGTCTGGGAAGTTCGAGGCTGTGGTGAGCCATTATTGCACCAATGCACTCCAGCCTGGGCAACAAAGTGAGATCCGGTCTCAAAATAATAGTAATAATTTTTTTTTAACAACAAAAGTATAAAAAAAGAAAAAAAATTACTGAAAAATATGAACCCTCTTCCCATAGCTGCTCCTCCCCCTCTTTAGCCCCCAACTGTGATTTCAATACACTATTTTAGGAAGTTCACAAACTTTCCAAGCCCACAGATCTCAGGTTAAAACCTCCAGTCCTAGAAAGACAAGCTTTAAATAATCCCATCCGTGTGTGTGTGTGTGTGTGTGTATTAAAAAAGATGTTATATATGTTTTATATGTTATATATATGTTATATGTATGTTACATACACACACACACACAAACTCAAGGACTTGTAGGACATTGGAGTCATTTGGCTGATAATCAATTGTGAATTTACCAAACTTTAAAGATTCACCAAACATACATTCCTTTTAAGTATATAAAAATATACAGCAATTTATAAAGGATAGTTTTATCAATTTTTAAAGACTTCTGACAATTATTAATAATTGACAGATTTTCAGACTTTTCATAGCAACATTTTAAGAAATATGTCAAAAGTTAAAGATCACAAAATGTTTCAATCTTCCTATAAATATGTCTCATATTCAGAAAACCATTTCTTCTCCTCCTCCTCCATTTCCTACCAACCAAACAGCACAATAAGGCAGCTCAAACCCAATAATATATACATCAAAAGCAGAAAACAAGGAAAAGTGATTTGGGATTGGCAAACTGGGGTTGCCAAGATGACACATATTTTAGGATTTGTGGGCTATGTATTATTTCTCTTGCATATTCCTCTTCTCTTTTTTAAGCAATATTTTAAAAATGGAAAAACCATTCTCAGCATATGGACCAGTCTGCTGACTGCTGGGCAGGAGCAACCACATCATGACAGAAACGCAGGGATCTGTTCACCAACGGTGAGAAACACAAATTCAATCCCTAAGTCAACCAGCGGGTAGAAGGGCTCTTCAGGTGAAAGAAGATAAAAAAGGTCTAAAATTTGGAGAAAGAAAAAATGATGAATTAAAAAATGAACAAACAAAGTACTGTCACACATGAGACGGTATATTTGAAGTGTTACTTTCTAGTGGAAAAACGAAGGCTGATATGCCTTCTGAAGAACTTGTGTGAGATCACCAAGTAGTAGTTAATGTTTAAGATAGAGAAAATACCACTGAGCTCAGTGGCTCACACCTGTAATCCCAGCACTTTGGGAGGCCGAGGCGGGTGGATCTCTTGAGGTCAGGAGTTCAAGACCAGCCTGGCCAACAGGGTGAAACCCTGTCTCTACTAAAAAATACAAAAAAAAATTAGCCAGGTGTGGTCGTGGTGGGCGCCTGTAGTCCCAGCTACTAGGGAGGCTGAGGCAGGGCCTTGGCTTGAACCCGGGAGGCAGAGGTTGCAGTGAGCCAATGGCACTACTCCACTGCAGCCTGGGCCACAGACTGGGTGAGACTCTTGTCTTAAAAAGAAAAGAAAGTAGCATTGAAAAATAAAATAACACAGCTAAGCCGATCCTGTCACAGACGAGACATGAGATTTTGGTTTTTCAAACAGGGTTATGTTAACTTAGCAGTAGCAATGTAAAGACTCAACCTGAACATTGAACTTTTCACGGAAGTACAAAAAATGCGTATCCCAGAAATTGATTATAATATCGATGTCTCAAATTTGGTTTAAATTACACATCAATATAAAATCCCACAAACATGCACCTACCAAAACAGGTGTAGAAAAGTCCTTTCAGCAAATGACGCTGGAACAACTGGGCGTCCGTGTGCAATAAAAGGAATCTGGACACAGACTTTACTCGCTTTTAAAAAAAACCGACCCAAAAATGGAACATAGGCCTAAATGTAAAATGCAAAACTATGAAACTCTTAGAAGATAGCACAAGAGAGAACCTAAGGGACCTTGAGTTTGGCAATGACTTTTAGATACAACACCAAAGACACAATCCATGAAAGAAATACTAAGTAACCTGGACCTCACCTATTACAATGGCCAAAACCCAGAGCACTGACACCAGCACATGCTGAGGAGGATGTGGAGCAACAGGAGCTCCCACTCACTGCCGATGGGAATGCGAAATGGCACGGGCACTTCAGAAGACAGCCCGGTGGTTTCTTACAAAGCTAGACATACTCTTACCATATGATCAAGCAATTGCACACCGTGTTGATTTACCAAAAGGAGTTGAAAACATGTCCACACTAAAACCTGCACATGGATGTTTTAGCAGCTTTACTGATAACTGAGAAAATTTAGAAACAGCTAAGATGTCCTTGTGTAGGTGAGGGGCTGAACAGACACATTCTGACAATGGAATATTATTTAGTGCTAAAAAGAAATGCACTATCAAGCCATGAAAAGACATGGAGGAAGCTGGGACGTATATTGCTAAGCAAAGGAAGCAAATCTGAAAATCCTATATACTGTATGATTCCCAATATGTAACATTCTGGAAAGGGCAAGACTACAGAAAGAATAAAAGCTCAGTGATTGCCAGGGGTCAGAAGGCAGGAAGGAGTGAGTGGGTGGAGCACACAGGATTTTTAGGGCAGTGGAACAACCCTATATGCCGCTGTAATAGCAAAATCACATCCTTACACATTTGTTAAAACCCAATGACTGTTCAAAGCCAAGAGTAAGCCCTAATGTAACTATGGACTTTGGGTGACAATGACCCAAATATCAGTGTAGCTTCATTAACAGTTAATAAACATTTCACTCTGGTGTGGGATGGTGACTGTAGTGGGGGTGGCAGTGTGTGTGCATGGGTATGGGTGGGGTATACGGGAACTCTCTGTACTTTCTGTAATTTTGCTATGAACCTAAAACTGCCCTAAAAATTATCTGTTTTTTAAAAAGAATAATTATAAACTGGAAAAATTATAAACTGGAAAAATTATCTTAGGAAATCCTAAAATATGGAAGATAAAATATGAGATATATTTTCTCAATATTAAATGTTTATAATATAACACAGCAAACACTTATTAACAGTGCTATAAAGAAATAAAAGCTAGTCAACCAAAACTTCCCATCAAATATGAACTGTAAACTTTATATACAGAAAAAAGAACCAGATTTTCACAAACTGAAACTTGAAAAATTAAGTAAATTGGTCATTCACTAAATTGGCTGCTTGGCAAACTAATTTTCAAAGAATTAGCATGTTCTTGGTTGGAAAAGAAAAAGAATAAGCAAAATCAGAAAGTAATAATAAAGATCTCCAAGCCTGGGTGTTGCCCAAAAGCAGCAGACAGAGCCAACAGAGGCTGGAACATTACAGACCCGCCTTCCCCCCAACCCAGGCTGCTGTATGCCATGCTCCCACAGCAGAAGCTAAGAATTACACTCACTATTTCTATTAACCAATAGACTATCTCCTTCTAAATTTTATAACATTATACGAAATTGGAAACTAAAATGTTTGTAGTAATTGTTTCTACCATGTTTTTCTTCTGCTTTCATTGTTAAGTTTTATGTTTCATTAATATCTTTTTATTTTAGTGACGAAAAATTTTCAAAATTTCAATTAAAAAAATTTCTAAATACCACTTAATACATGCGAGCCTCATTATTCACAGATTCCGTATTTGCCAATATTCCTCCCCTCTGAAATTTATGAACCCACAATCAGTGTCTGTGGCACTGCAGTGGCCATTTGTGGACATACATGGACTGGAAAAGAATCAGTCATCCACATGAACGTTCCTAGCCAGGAGGAACAAGGCCATGCCTTGCCTTCCTGTTCCAGCTGAAATGGTGAATAAGCATCCTCTTTGTGATCTATTTAGGGCTACTGTTTTCAAATCTGTGTGCTTTATGTTGGTGATTTTGCTGTTTAAAATGTCCCCAGCCCTAAGTGCAAGAAGGCTGTGATGTGCCTTATGGAGAAAACACGTGTGTTAGGGAAGCTTCACGCAGGCATGAGCTACAGTCCTGCTGATCATGAGTTGCATGTCAATGAATTAACAATATACATTGAATAAGGTGTCTTTAAACAGAAACACACATAAAACAAGGTTATATATGAATGGCTAATGAAAATGTAGTGAACAGAGGCTCTCAGGAACCTAACCCCATGTTTACCCAGAGGCTACAGTAGAGCATTCACTAACTCAGTGTCTGTGCAACTTTATAGAGCATAACTACCTGAATGACAAGAATTGCCTGAATATCATACTTGAGGATTTAGTTTTTTCTTCAGATTAATGATTTATTCTTTCCTGTGTCTTACTGCCTTAGATACAGAATCATAAAATTTTAACTTTAGTTCTAGTTTTGCTATAAACAGCAATCTTAAGTATCTTTATTTTTCTGGGTTTTCTCATCTATAAAATTAGACTACATGAACTTTAAGATATATACACTTCTAATTTATTTTCATAAACATGAATTACATTTAAAATCTGTGGCCAAAAATGTGACATGAATCTAAAATATTTTAAATTTAAAAGACGGATTTAATGATGACTTGTGTCTGTTAAGTGATAAACAAGGTGAGTTTAGCCACAAGAGTGTAACGGGACCTACTAGCACCCCCTGCAGGCCTTGCTCTTCCCTTTGGCAGCTATATCTTTCTGCTTAGGGGGTCGGGGGCGAGGGAGGCATAGGTGAGAAAGTGTGAGAACACGTCAATACAGGGCAAACACTGGCACAGAAAAATGAGCATGTGGATGCTCTAAATCAGGGGCTGGTAATCAATATAACTGCTACATGATGGAGTAGCCAGGGAGTTCAGTTTTAGTGCCAGCGTGGTTGGGGCAGAAAAACCAAATGAGAAAAAAGACTGAGAATTCGGTGAAGCTTGTCATGGGGCATGTGCCTCTGAACTGCTCAACCCAGACAGGGCCCAGGGGAGGATGCAGGACACAGCTGGGGAAGCTGAGAGGTGCCTGGCCTAGATGATGCGCTGGAAACACCAACTCCGCAGACACAGGGTGACACCACTGCTGTGCAGGACAGTAAGGGCACACAGCTCCCCTGGCTATACAGCCTCCATGAAGAAAAAAATCGCTTAGAATTTATACTTATTTTATACCTAGCAAGGTTCTAAAAACACTTAGGTGTATATCAACCTAAGAAAAAACTATCTTTTACGTGCCATCTCTAAATGTGACTGTTGGTAAAAGAATTTCTCTTTTGGGGCTCTGAACAATGGAAGATGGGCAAGAGGACATAGATGTCTTTCCCTCCTTATATAAACTGATATCCAAAGTGTATTTGAGTAGGACATTTACATACACCTGCTCTCTTTCCAAATAAAGAAAAAAATTATACTTCCCTGCACTTTGAAAAATCTCATTTTACAGCCAGATTCCAAACGAAATATACTAACAAGAAAATAAAAAGAGGGACATAGAGCTTGTTTTCCCCCTAATATTGTCCAATTTACCAAAACTTTTATACTTAGGGTAAAATGCAAAGACATCAATCAAAGGAATCACTGGGGATATGAAATAAATGTATAAATTTAAATGAATAACTATCACAGTTAAAAAAATAAATATTTGTTGGGATGAAAGAGATGAATTCAAGGAAAAAAAAGTTTAATTGGCAGTAAAAACAAAGTTACTGGTGCTGCTCCTTACCAATGAACTTCTGACACCTGAAGCATTCTTCCAGCCACTCTGGCGTCACTATGTGCTTCACGACAGAAATTGCCGTCAGGAACTTCACAGTGCGAGTCACTTTGCTGGCAATGAGATGCGTGCACTTCTGTGCAGACTCTGCCACCTCCCCACCGAGAATGTAGAGCTTCTAAAGGTCACAAGCACAGGTCAGAAATGAAAAAGTTCAGCATCCATAGAGCCACACTGACAGAGAGTAACACAGAGGAATACCTATCTAAAGACAAGGTTTATGACTAATTCTCAGCCACAGAAAACAGTGTGACAGGTAAGATGAAACCTATAACTACAGGAGAAAAATAAAAAGGAGAATTTATCATTTACATTTCTGTAGTTTAAATCCACACAAATCAAGATTAAAATACGAATTCTCCATCAAACATCAATAACAT